CACGCCCACCCGGGACACGCCCACCCGGGACACGCCCACTATGGACAAGCCCATCCCCTCTCAGGCCACGCCCACCCTGGAAACGCCCATCGAGGTCACGCCCACTATGGACAAGCCCAACCCCACTCAGGCCACGCCCACCGTGGCCACGCCCACATTGGACCCACTCAGACCACGCCCACATTACCCAAACCCACCCAGGCCACGCCCACCCTGACCACACCCACACCCATATGCCCACCCCCACCTGACCACGCCCACCCTGACCACACCCACCCAGACCACGCCCACATTGGCCACACCCACCCAGACCACGCCCACATTGACCACACCCGCCTGACCACGCCCACACTGACCACACTGAAAATGGCCACTCCCACCTTGACCACGCCCACACTGACCACACCCATTGGCCACCCATGTTGCCCACACCCAACCAGACCACGCCCACATTGACCACACCCACACTGACCACGCCCACATTGACCACGCCCACACTGACCACGCCCACATTGACCACACCCACCTGACCACGCCCACACCCCCAAGCCACGCCCAGTGACCACACCCACCCAGACCACACCCATAGTGGCCACACCCACAATGACCACACCCACACTGACCACGTCCATTGGCCACACCCACAATGACCACTCCCACCTTGACCACACCCACCCTGACCACACCCATCGTGGCCACGCCCATTAGGACCGCGTCCACATTGGGCACACCCACCCAAACCACGCCCACAGCCAACCAGACCACGCCCACATGGCCACACCCACCATGGCCACACCCACATCCATTCAGACCACGCCCACATTGGCCATGTCCACCCCGGCCACGCCCACAATCACCCTGACCACGCCCACAGTGACCACACCCACCCATGCCACGCCCATTGGCCACACCAACCTGACCACTCCCACCTTGACCACGCCCACATTGACCACACCCATTGACCACCCATGTTGCCCACACCCACCCAGGCCACGCCCATTGGTCACACCCACCTGACCACGCCCACACTGACCACACCCATTGACCACCTATGTTGCCCACACCCACCCAGACCACGCCTACACTGACCACTCCCACACTGACCACTCCCACATTGACCACACCCCAAGCCACGCCCACAATGACCACACCCACCAAGACCATGCCCAGTGGTCACACCCATCATGGCCACGCCCACAGGTATCCTGGCTACGCCCACAATGACCACACCCACATTGACCACACCCATTGACCACCCATGTTGCCCACACCCACCCAGACCACGCCCACAATGACCACACCCACCCAGGCCACGCCCATTGGCCACGACCACACTGACAATGGCCACTCCCACCTTGACCACACCCACCACAATGACCACACCCATTGACCACCCATGTTGCCCACACCCAACCAGACCACGCCCACATTGACCACACCCACACTGACCACTCCCACATCCAAAGCCACGCCCACAATGACCACACCCATAGTGGCCACACCCATCATGGCCACGCCCAGTCACCCTGACCACGCCCATTGGCCACACCCACAATGACCACACCCATTGGCCACCCATGTTGCCCACACCCAACCAGACCACACCCACACTGACCACACCCATCATGACCACGCCCACAATGACCACACCCCAAGCCACACCCACACTGACCACACCCATCATGGCCACGCCTACAGCCACCCTGACCACGCCCATTGGCCACACCCACAATGACCCCACCCATTGACTACCCATGTTGCCCACACCCAACCAGACCACGCCCATTGGCCACACCTACCCTGACCACGCCCACTCCCATTGGCCACGCCCACCCGGCCACGGCCCCTTCCCAATAAAAGCTCCGTCATTTCCATATTCAGGAGTGCGACCAATCAATGCCTTTATTTGGGAAAGGGGGCGGGGCTCCCGTGGGGCGGGGATGACGTCATCGCGCCTGGGGGAAAGGGGAGGGGCTAAATGTGAGGCCACGCCCACTTTTGGGCTGGCCCCGCCCACTTTGGGGGATTTGCCCCACCCACTCCGAAGGCCACGCCCCTTCCTGCTCCGCCATTGGCTGGGTTTGGCCACGCCCCAATTTTCCCATTGGTGGCCGTAAAGCCACGCCCACAACCTATCCCATTGGCTGCTGCAGGCCACGCCCCCGTCTCGGGGCTTTCTCATTGGCTGATCCACGCCCCACCCCCTCCTGGCTCTCTGACATTGGTTGGGTGAAGCTCCGCCCCCTCCCCACTCCCATTGGCTCCTTCCGACCCCGCCAAGCTTCTCCCATTGGTCGCTTTAAGCCCCTCCCCAACATTTCCCCCTTGCCATTGGCTGCTTCCAGCCACGCCCCCAATCTCAGGCTTTCCCATTGGCTGCTTTAAGCCCCACCTCCTCCCGCTGCTTTCCTATTGGTTCTTTCAAGCCCCGCCCCCAAACCCCCTCATGGCCCCACCCTCACTTCCCCATTGGCCACTCCAAGCCCCGCCCCTGCCTCCAGGCTCTCCCATTGGCTGCTCAGAGCCCCACCCTCCATTCGGCCTCTCCCATTGGTCACTCAAAGCCCCGCCCCCAATTTCCCCCACTTCCATTGGCTGAGCAAAGCCCCGCCCCCTCCCTCTCTGATTGGCCCGTCCCGGCCCCGCCCTCACCTCTCTGCGCCGCCATTGGCTGCCGCGGTGGGCGGGGCGGGCTCAGGGCTCTCCCATTGGCTGGGTGAAGCTGAGGGCGTCGCCCAAGGCTCCCCATTGGCCGCGGCGGCTCTGGAACAGCCCCACCCACACGCCCAGGCCCAGCCCCCAGAGCGCCGCGCCCAGCGCCGAGCGCAGCACGTCTGGAAACGACCCAAAAACGGGCAAAATCACCCCAAAATCACCCCAAAATCACCCAAAATCACCCAAAATCACCCAAAATCAGCCCAGCCCAGCCCCCAGTGTGCCGCGCCCAGCGCCGAGCGCAGCACGTCTGGAAACGACCCAAAAACGGGCAAAATCACCCCAAAATCAGCCCGAAATCAGCCCAAAATCACCCCAAAATCAGCCCCAAAACCAACCCAAAATCACCCCAAAACCATCCCAAAATCAGCCCCAAAACCAACCCAAAATCACCCAAAATCAGCCCCAAATCAGCCCGAAATCACCCAAAAAACCCCCCCAAGAATCAGCCCCAAACAGCCCCAAAATCACCCAAAATCACCCCAAAAACCACCCCAAACAGCCCAAAATCACCCCAAAATCACCCAAAATCAGCCCGGCCCAGCCCCCAGAGCGCCGCGCCCAGCGCCGAGCGCAGCACGTCTGGAAACGACCCAAAAACGGGCAAAATCACCCCAAAATCACCCCGAAATCAGCCCAAAATCACCCAAAATCACCCAAAATCACCCAAAATCACCCCAAAATCACCCAAAATCACCCCAAAATCAGCCCCAAAACCATCCCAAAATCAGCCCCAAAACCAACCCAAAATCAGCCCCAAATCAGCCCAAAATCACCCCAAAAAACAGCCCCAAAATCAGCCCCAAATCACCCCAAAATCAGCCGAAATCACCCCAAAATCAAACCCAAAATCAGACCCAAAATCACCCTGAAATCAGCCCCAAAATCACCCAAAATCGGCCAAAATCCGCCCAAAATCACCCCAAAAACCATCCTAAAAACCAACCTCAAACAGCCCCAAAATCACCCCAAAACCAACCCAAAATCAAACCAAAATCACCCAAAATCCGACCCAAATCAGCCCCAAATCAGCCCAAAACCCAATTTTCCCGTTTTTCCCGTGTTTCCCCATTGTTTTCCCAGTTTTCCCCCCATTTTTCCCATTTTTCCTATTTCCCCATTTTTCCCATTTTCCCGTTGTTTTCCCATTTTTCCCATTTTCCCATTTTTCCCATTTCCCCATTTTCCCCATTTTTCCCGTTTTCCTGTAGTTTTCCCCCATTTTTCCCATTTCCCCCCATTTCCCTGTTATTTTTCCCGTTGTTTTCCCCGTTCTTTCCCCCATTTTTCCCGTTTCCCTGTGGTTTTTCCCCTTTTTTTCCCATTTTTCCCATTTCCCTGTGGTTTTTCCCCATTTTTTCCCCATTTTTCCCTTTTTTTCCCCATTTTCCCCCATTTTCTCCCCATTTCTGTCCCATTTTTTCCCATTTTCCCCCGTTTTCCCCCCGGTTCCCCGTCTGTCACAGCTCTTGATTCTCGGCTGTTTTTCCCCCGTTTTTCCCCATTTTTCCAATTTCCCCGTGGTTTCTCCCCGTTTTTTCCTGTTTTCCCCCATTTTCCCCTCGTTTTTCCCCATTTCTCCCCATTTTCCCCCCATTTTTTCCCCGTTTTTCCCCATTTTCCCCCATTTTTTCCCCATTTTTCCAATTTCCCCGTGGTTTCTCCCCGTTTTTCCCCGTTTTTGCCCCGATTTTTTCCCTGTTTTTTCCCATTTCCCCCCATTTTTTCCCGTTTTTTCCCGTTTTCCCCCATTTTCCCCCATTTTTCCCATTTCCCCGTGGTTTCTCCCTGTTTTTTCCCATTTTTCCCATTTCCCCGTGGTTTCTCCCCGGTTTTTTCCCGTTTTCCCCTGTTTTTCCCATTTCCACGTGGTTTTCCCCCATTTTTTCCCCATTTTTCCCCATTTTCTGCCATTTTTCCCATTTCCCCGTGGTTTTTCCCCATTTTTCCCCATTTTCCCCCGTTTTTCCCATTTCCCCGTGGTTTCTCCCCGTTTTTTCCTGTTTTCCCCCATTTTCCCCCCGTTTTTCCCCATTTCTCCCCCTTTTTTCCCCGTTTTTCCCCATTTCTCCCCATTTCTCCCCATTTTTCCCCATTTTTCCCCATTTTTCCCCATTTTTTCCCTGTTTTTCCCCATTTTCTGCCATTTTTCCCATTTTCCCCCGTGGTTCCTCCCCATTTTTTCCCCTTTTTTCCCATTTTCCCCCATTTTCCCCCCGTTTTTCCCCGTTTTCCCCCCGTTTTTCCCATTTCCCCGTGGTTTTTCCCCGTTTTTCCCCGTTTTCCCCCGTTTTTTCCTGTTTTTCCCCATTTTTCCCCCATTTTCCCCCGTTTTTCCCCATTTTCCCCCGTTTCCCCCCGTTTCCCCCCGTTTTTTCCCATTTTCCCCCATTTTCCCCCATTTTCCCCCCGTTTTTCCACATTTTTCCCTCCATTTTTCCCCATTTTTCCCCATTTTTCCCCCATTTTCCCCCATTTTTCCCCATTTTTCCCCCCTTTTTCCCTATTTCCCTCCTTTTTCTCCTTTCCCCTCTCCTTGTAATCCCCATTTTTCCCCATTTTCCCCGATTTTCCCCCCATTTTTCCCCCATTTCCCCCCATTTTCCCTATTTCCCTCCCTTTCCCCCTTCCCCCCCTTGTAATCCCCATTTTCACCGATTTTCCCCCCATTTTTCCCCGTTTTTCCCCATTTTCCCCCATTTTCCCCCATTTCTCCCCTGTTTTCCCCCCGTTTTTCCCATTTTCCCCCATTTTTCCCCATTTTCCCCGTTTTTTCCCGTTTTCGCCCGTTTTCGCCCCGTTCCCGTCTCACAGCTCTTGATCCGGGGCTGTTCTCCGAAGGGCGGCGCCAGGAACGCCGCCCGGAAAAACCAAACGACGTTAACGAGCCACAGGAACGGCAGCGCCAGGAACCCGCCTGGTTAATGATGGGTTAACCATGGGTTAACCAGGTTAACCAGCCACAGGAACGGCAGTGCCAGGAACCCGCCTGGTTAACCAGGTTAACCATGGGTTAACCATGGGTTAACCAGCCACAGGAACGGCAGCGCCACGAACCCACCTGGTTAACCATGGGTTAACCGGGTTAACCAGGTTAACCATGGGTTAACCGGGTTAACGAGCCACAGGAACGGCAGCGCCACGAACCCGCCTGGTTAACCAGGTTAACCATGGGTTAACCATGGGTTAACGAGCCACAGGAACGGCAGCGCCAGGAACCCGCCTGGTTAATGATGGGTTAACCAGGTTAACCATGGGTTAACCCGGGTTAACGAGCCACAGGAACGGCAGCGCCACGAACCCGCCTGGTTAACCATGGGTTAACCATGGGTTAACCAGCCACAGGAACGGCAGCGCCATGAACCCACCTGGTTAACCATGGGTTAACCGGGTTAACCAGGTTAACGAGCCACAGGAACGGCAGCACCAGGAACCCGCCTGGTTAACCATGGGTTAACTGGGTTAACCATGGGTTAACCAGCCACAGGAACGGCAGCGCCAGGAACCCGCCTGGTTAATGATGGGTTAACCAGGTTAACCATGGGTTAACGAGCCACAGGAACGGCAGCGCCACGAACCCGCCTGGTTAACCAGGTTAACCATGGGTTAACCATGGGTTAATGAGCCACAGGAACGGCAGCGCCACGAACCCGCCTGGTTAACCAGGTTAACCATGGGTTAACCATGGGTTAACCCGGGTTAACCAGCCACAGGAACGGCAGCGCCACGAACCCGCCTGGTTAACCGGGTTAACCATGGGTTAACCATGGGTTAACCAGCCACAGGAACGGCAGCGCCACGAACCCACCTGGTTAACCATGGGTTAACCATGGGTTAACCATGGGTTAACCGGGTTAACCAGCCACAGGCACGGCAGCGCCAGGAACCTGCCTGGTTAACCATGGGTTAACCATGGGTTAACCAGCCACAGGAACGGCAGCGCCACGAACCCGCCTGGTTAACCCGGTTAACCATGGGTTAACCATGGGTTAACCTGGGTTAACCAGCCACAGGAACGGCAGCGCCAGGAACCCGCCTGGTTAACCACAGGTTAACCAGGTTAACCCGGGTTGGTGACTGGTTAACAGCAGGTTAGTCACCGGTTAACCGCCGGTTAACCACGGGCTAGTCACTGGTTAACTGCGGGTAACTGACCGGTTAGCCGTGCGTTATTCACCCGTTACCGACAGGTTAACTGCAGATTAGTCACTGGTTAACATTGGGTTAACAGCGGGTTAGTTGCCAGTTAACCACAGGTTAGCAGCGGGTTAGCGACTGGTTAACAGCAGGTTAACTGCAGGTTAGGCACCGGTTAACCGTGGGTTAACCACAGGTTAGTCACC